CATGTTTAACTGTGCCTTCAGAGTCTTACACCCCTGTTGTGTGACGCAATCAGGTCTCTCAAACTGGAACTGTACGCACATCAGGGTAGTATCTTTCTTACCAAATCTCGGCTTCATTCCACTTAGGGAGGAATAAATGGGGCACATTGAGACCGTTTCGCCACTCTATTAGCTAGCGGGCATTTTTCTGGGAGTTCACTGTCATCTGGGCTTTCTCCTGAGAGTGTCAGAGCCATTTTCTCCTTTAGGTGCGTGTATCATCAGAACAACTCAACATAGAAGGTAATGATTTACCTAAGATGAAACTGGTTCAGAAAGACAAAGAAGTATTCAGAGCCACGCAGCGAGGAAGTGATAAAGCTCTCAAACCCAGATCTCTTAACCTGAGTTCATGTTCATACTCGTCACATCTGACATCATAACTGGACCTAGAAATAGAGATATCAGATTTGCCGACTGAGTCTTTCAATTCAGCACAGGCTCAGCTAAATTCTATGGTTAGTCTAACTACTTGTTTCTTGGCTCTGTGGGCCTATTTCCAGACAATATCAAGCCAGCTTCTACTCTTTTTTATTTGTATTTTCCACTGACCAGCAAGGTCATGGTAACTCTCTGTGCCCAGAGGTGTGGAGGTGGGCCAGGGCCAGGGCCAAGCCAAGCCTCACTCCTCCAGAGTTCCCAGGAGTTTCACAGAACTCTGCCAGTTCAGGTACATAGAGACATGGGCACCTGAAGGAAAGGCTTCCTAGATAGGGCCAAAGTAGAGAAGTTTCACTGCAGTATTGGCATTTTAGAATCTTTAGAAACAGAATTAAAATCTAGGCTTGTCTACCAGCTTTCCACAGGGCAGCTAGAGGACAAACTACCAACCCTCCCCCCCCGCCGCCCCCCGCAAAAGAAACCCTTGAGGAACCTCCACTCTCATCCATCCTTCCCAGACTTCTATTGGACCCATCTATACTGAGAGGACATTAATCCCTGCCCCACTTATACCCCTGCCCTTTTATGCTCTGGCTGCATATGAAGATAGACACACACGCACTGCTGTTGTTGCTGTTTCAGGTGATGGGAGGGGATAATTGCAACTTCTTAAGGGAGGCTAAGACCTGCAGGGAAATTTAATATACTTTTGGAACTACCAGTGGTATATAAGAGAGTGTCCTTCCATCTTTTATTATTAACTTCAAGAGACCTTAAACCTTTGCTTTCACTCCACTGACTGACTGTCTTCAGCTTTTAAAAGAAGAATGTATTAAGGAGGAGAAATAATCTACTATCTCTCAATGCTCAGTAGTGTTGGCAGGGCCATTGGTCACTATCCTGCAATTAATTAATTCAGGAAGTAAATTCTCTGACTTCATAAAACAGGAGGGCTTAATTGCTGTATCTTTACTGGAATAAAGAGAACAAAAACAGAAATGAAACTTCTTCCTAGGGTGGTAGCGGGAGGTGGGAGTCGCTGGTTTGTTGGTTTTTTTTTCTCCCATTTTTGCCTCAATTTGTATTAGTCATAATGTTTTTAATAACTAAGTTTGCTAATCTATAAAAAATGATTAATTGAGGAAGATAATAGATGGTATACAAGCAGGCCTAAAAGAAGTAAAAATAGCTTTCCTTCTTTCGAATCTCTTCTAGCTTATTTTTTTCCCCCTTAGTTTAATTTTCAGGATAAACTCTCAGTGGGCCAGAGGGGACTTTTATGAATATATATATATATATATATATATATACACACACACACACACACATAATAGCATATGGTATCATAATATATACATAACATATCCCAACATGTGTTACAGGAATAAATAATATTTATGGAAAATAATACTCATATGCATATATATGTTTTTTACAGAAATAAATAATCATGAAATAGGCAAAGGTCAAGGATCAAAGATTTACAAGAAAGGAAGGGGAAGTCTTCTAATTGTTGAATGTGATGGAATCATACATAAAACAAAAATAATTTTACAAACTGAAAATACAGCAATCTCTATAGACTGATAATGAAAAGCACCATTTGCTAGAGATGTGCTGTTTGTCAGTCTTCTACCTCTCTGTTATACCTCTCTGTTCTTTACAGAACAGAACCAGCAGCTGTCAGAACTAAGGAACGATGGATGCTGACAAAGGATTAAAAAAAATGGCTGCTCTTTAAATTCCTATAATCAAGCTCTTTCCTGAAAGAAAGAGGAGTGAAGCTAATTCCTCCTTTCACAATTAAGTTAAATGATCGTAACAGTAATTGTTAACAATGTTAGTACTACCTGCTTGGTAGTGCTGCCCATATTTTTGGTAAACCACAGAAGAACAATGTCAAGAAAGTTTTTAACAAAGAGATCTGAAATGTTAATGCTAGTATTTATCCGATGGAGCTTTACAATTTGGAATTTAGGTGTTTCCTTAATACAAAAAGGTTGGTTCTAAGTATTTAAAGGCCCTAATATAAATTTTTCTTTTGTGAGATAAATATGTACACATACTTCTATAATACTGCCTTAGATTCTGCTGTTATTGTTTTAAGTGTTTATTACAGGCCAAGTTATTTGCATTACTGATTTCTCACCATAACCCTATTATTTCCCTTTTATAGGTGAATAAACTGAAGTGCAGAAACACTACATATCTGAAAGATAAATTCTAGGTCATTTTTCACAAAAGACTATACAATTAAAATGTACAGACAGAAATATCTGAGGTTATTTATATATCTTTCAAGAACCTCAATAATCAGGTTAAAGTCAGGGGATAGTCTGAAACACTGTATACAGCTTCAAGTAGGGATTTAACATGCTTTGCCCATGTAACTACCCACTCGTGTTCTTGCCTGGAGAACCCCAGGGACGGGGGAGCCTGGTGGGCTGCCGTCTATGGGGTCGCACAGAGTCGGACACGACTGAAGCGACTTAGCAGCAGCAGCAGCCCATGTAACTAACCTCTATGTTTCAAGATCTAGGATTACATTGCGTTCTTTTTTAGAATCATAGAACCATTTCCAAAATTCTCTTAGAACCTCATACATTTGAACAACAACAAAACCCTAGCCATTTATTTTTGTGTATGGTGTTAGAAAGTGTTCTAGTTTCACTCTTTTACAAGTGGTTGACCAGTTTTCCCAACACCACTTGCTAAAGAGGTTCTCTTTATTCCATTGTATATCCTTGCCTCCTTTGTCGAAGATAAGGTGACCATAGGTTCGTGGATTTATCTCTGGGCTTTCTATTCTGTTCCATTGATCTAGATTTCTGTCTTTCTGCCAATACCATAAACTCAAAATGGATTAAAGATCTAAACGTAAGACCAGAAACTATAAAACTCCTAGAGGAGAACATAGGCAAAACACTCTCCGACATAAATCACAGCAGGATCCTCTATGACCCACATCCCAGAATNAAAAACGCATTAGAAAGAGATCAAAATAAAATTTCCAGAAATAAATGTAACCAAAAACATGGAGGACATAGGGAAAGAAATGACTTTTCTATGGACACCATGTAAAATTAAAGATTACTATGAAACATTATAAAGAATTAATATATTTTATACATAAAGAGTGCTCACAAATAAAAAAGAATATAAAATGGGCAGAGAGGGAGGTGGGAGGGGGGATCGGGATGGGGAATACATGTAAATCCATGGCTGATTCATGTCAATGTATGACAAAACCCACTACAATATTGTAAAGTAATTAGCCTCCAACTAATAAATAAATAAATAAATAAATAAATAAAGTAAACACACACACACAAAAAAAACCCTAGGCATTTTAGGAGCTCAGGACTATCCCATCTGTTGGCAGCTCCCTCGATTCATGTCTGATGGCTTCTCCTCTCTTGTCTCTGGATCCCTCCCATCAAAGCCTTTCAAATAACTGTGGTTTTCCTCATCCCAGGAGCTAGGATTAGTCCCTTCTGCCAGAAAAACTCCTTAGGTCTCTAGAATAGAAACATTATCAAAACCTAGCTGGACACCAGTGCTGCAACAGGGATGGAATGGGAGAGGCCCTGCCAGGGGACTGCCGGTCACTGAAGCAAAAGTGATGGACTGATGGCAGCCAGTACCTCTCCCTGCATCCCTGAGAAGCTCTGCCATCGGGCCCTGCCTGCCTAAGATGCTTCTGCATTCACCACCCTCCAGGTGCTGGAGAAGCTTCTCCCAGATCCTTACCAGGGCACCATGCCACCATCTACTGTCCCAGGCCGTCTCCTCCCTCCTCTCACCTAGAGCTGGACACGGGGAATGCAGGGCGAAGTCCAGACACGTGCAAAGTCCAGACTGGAGGTTCCCTAGCTCTACCAGCAACCAGCTTTTTCACCAAACATAGAAAAATAGAAGAAAAAAAGATATTCACAATGATTACTGCCCTCATTTCATAAAGCCTACCATATTAACAACTGAACACGAACAGATATTTGGGATCAGCAATAGGCAGAAAAACCTGAGTTTGGGGCCCCCTCTGCTACCAGGGTGGCTGGAGACTGAGAAACTTGGTGATATAACTGAGCATCAGTTTCCGCCTCTGTAAAATGAAGGCATTTGACTGGATGATAGCCAAAATCTCTTACCCACATAATATTCTATAAGTGTACTTTCTAATTACATTCATTTTGCAGTCTATGCAGTCACCAACCCGAAGTCACTTGTTTTGCAAGGTTTAATGTATTGCATTCCAACATTTTCTGCTTTTTTCCACCCATTACAGTTGCTCCTTAAAAAACATAAGTAATTGCATCTTGCCTACTTTAGATTACAACCCTTCATGTAAGTAAGACTGATACTGAGAAAGAAGAACAGGGTAGTCATTTCTCACAACAGAAGGAAGAGGAAGCAACCTTGCTTCACCCACATGCAATTTCCAGAAGCCCCAGCTGGGTAAAGGCTGAGGGTGCTGCTTATGTGTTTTGTCCTTTTCTTTTGAGCTCAGAGTGTTATTAAATTGATTGTGATGTTGCCTAAAGTCATAGAAGTTGGTGTCAGAGTTACCGATAGATAAACACCTAGTTCAGGATTCTTCTACAGGAGCTTGCCACCAGATTCAGAAAACTTTCTGGATCATCAGGTGGTGTGACTGTTCTCAGCAGGTTTCTTAGAAGCTCTTGATTTGATCCCAACAAACCAGCCTTCCAGTGGCCCAGTTCAAGATGGATCATAGATGGCCCCAGCTGGTGGATGACCTGCTATTACAAAGAAAGTTAACTGACCCACAGGCCATTGCTCAATAGAAGGCTGGTTCCTTCCCTCTTTCTTGGTAACAGTTAGAGGAAACTGTGGTGGGTTTCTGCAGCCCAAACCTCTGACCCCATTCTCTCTCTCTCCTCAACTATGCTAACCTGTCTGCCATCTAACCACAGTGCATTGCTCAATGACTGGGCAGATGATGTCAGATGGATAAAGACCATCTCAACACTAAGATTCTATGATGCTATGGAAACATCAAGCCTAATGTGGGGGTTCTCCCTCTTTAGGCTCCACAGTAGCTGACTCTCAGGATGCAAATAAGGAAGTCAGTCTTCTGTCTAGAAATCTGTGTTATGTTCTGTGTCATAGCAAATTCTGTATTCTTTGAATCTGCTATTGAAAAGCAGATTCTCTGGCTGATTCCTGACCTTGTCCTGACCCATATCTCCAATGTTGGCTCTTCCAAGTCAGCTTTGAAACAACCTGGTCCTGTGCACAATCCTTTCACCCTTTTTCCAGCACCAATATCTCACACTTGACTTTAGGCAGCTCTGTGGAGGGTTGCTTAGAAACAGCTTGGCTTGTGAAATAAACATACCTGGTATAGTATGTGGCTTGGGGAAAATTTCTACAGTTCGGCTGGGTAAGAAAATAGCTTTTCCCGAGAGGAGCAGTGTTTCACTGTGAATTGAAAGGGATGAAAGCAGCCCCAGTCTCTTCAATCAGCCACCGCTAAACAGGGCTGCTAGACAAAAGTACAGGGGGTCCTGATGCCAAGCACCATAGTCACACACACTGATGAGTCTGCATCACCAAGCAGTGTCAGTTTCAGGGGAGGGGAACCACCTGCCACCAGTCCTATAAAATGAGCATGATTGGAAATAGCTGTCTCTATATAATGATTTAATTTGTTTGGAATTTAGCCACCTGGTAATGGGGAAAACCCTAACAATATGGAAATTGCTAAAGATTCAAAAAGGAACAAGGAAATACAAATCATTCTTATTATACTCAGTGCCCAAGTAGAACACAATATACAGGAAGGGTTCCAGCAGCCTTTTCATCACCTTTTCCCCCTGGACTCTTCTCCATCTTCAACTACTGCTGCCATCGTAGACTTTGCCCTTACCAGCCACAGGGTCCCCTGAATGGGCTGTTTTTGTAAAGAATGGATAAGGATACAGCATTCATTAGTCTTTATATCCTTAACTATCTTCTTTAATACTATGTCTGCTTATGCAAATTATATCATGATCCCCAAACAAAACAACACATCTAAACTGTCAACAACAGAATTCATAGCTGCGAAGAGCAGAGGGAAGCTAACTTTCAATTAAGAGTCACTGAGAATAGAGGCCTGAAAGTGAGCACACAGGGGCAGTTCTGGGACTGTGGGGCAAACTTACTCCTTTACCCAACCAGACTACAGAAACTTCCTCAAGTCATATATTAAACTGACATGTTTATTCCACAAGCTAAGCTGTTTCTAAATTAATCAACTCTTTACATAGCCTTCTAAAGCCAAGTATTAGTTAAGTCATAGATTCCCTGAGGCCAGGGTTTCTCAACCTTGGCATCACTGACATTTTAGACTGGATAATTCTTTGTTATATAAGTGGGGGTTTATCCTGTGTCCAATGCTATATGGTGTTCAGCAGTATCCTTGGCCTCTTCCCACTAGATGCCAGGAGCACTACTTCTTCCAAGTGAGACAACCAAAAATGCATCCATATATTGCCAAATGGTGACTGAGCAGAGAGGGACAAACAGCCCTGGTTGAAAAACACAACTCTCAAAATATACACCAAGACAAATCACCCTCCAAACTGCAGATGAATGTGCCACATGGATGCCTTACTTTGTTGTCTGCATATGCAGCGCCCATGTCAACAGAATACCTTGTATGTTAAGTTTATCAAGAACAATGTCTTAAAGCTTCACAGTTGTTTTAACTTGCGTTTTCTTGCACCAAACCAAGTGCAAAACCCAAGTACTGAAGTTATTAACAAACAAAAAAATCAATGATGGAGAAGCAGAACAAGAAAGTACACTCAGTTCACCTTTGTCATGATTTTGATCCTTAAAAATGTAGCTGGCAGAGTATGTGTGCCTCTCCCTGCCTTCTCTGTCTACTTGCACGTGTACACACAAACAGGGGCTACTGCAGCCCAGAGTAGATGACTCCCCAGTTCTTTGGGGTAAAATGCACAGGAAGTATTTTGGCCATCTGTTCAGCAGAAATGCCCACTTGGAAACTGACATGAAGGTCCCTCTCTGGGGCAGATGGCTCAATCTGGCCACCCCAGTGCACCCGTCAAAGGCACTAGTGATGAGTGCAGTGCTCTAAGAAAGACTGGGGACTCAGAAACTTGCAACTTAAGCTGCAGCTCTGCTTCTGGACTCAGCGCACTCTTGGCCAGAGAGAAGGATTTGGGCTTCTATTTCCTTGCATGTTAATGAACAGTTTTATCAGAGGCATATCCAACTCTAACAGTTTAAGTTTCTAAGAATATAATGCAGACAAATGTCACTTCCACCCACCTCACAATCCTTCTCCTTTCTAAATTAATCATTTCTGTTATTTCCACCTTGAGTGATAATGAGTATTCGCAATTCAACAGAAATAGCAAAAAATGCATGAGATATCCAATTACTTTCAAGAGAAAGGTCTAATCCTGTCATTAGAGGTGATGACCTTACTACTTTTTTTTTCTTTTTGCCCAAGATTAAATCTCTGTGGACAGTTAATATTTCACTTTCAAAGAAGTACTAAAAAATCCATTCAAGTTAATCCAAGCTGTGTGCTAAAAGATGGAAAATACCAGTCCCACGGAGCATATGTAATCACCAAAAGTATTTACAGCCCCTGATTCCAACCTCAGGATCACTTGACTCTATACCCCATGGAGAGATTTTCCATATATCATTTCCTTCTTCCAGACATGCTTCATAAACATGACCTGCTTCTGTAAACACCAAAGAAATCACATGGCGAATGCTTCTGTGGGAGATGCATAATAATACAGGAAATGAAGGACACCATCTGTACTATCTCCAGCAGTGAGCCCAGCATTTGATTTTCAAAACTGTGTTCAAAGATTGAAAAGCAAACATGGCTCATGTTACCACTGTAACATGAAACAGTCAATCTTTGAAAACAGGAGCCATATTTGCTTTTCAGTCATATGGAATAATATCAGAAGCCCAGTTTCATGATCACACCTTGTAAAATGATCTCTTATTTATATACTTTTATTACAGAAAGATTTAGGTCCTGAAGTTAAGTTTATTATGCTTATTGATTGGAGAGAGTTAAATATAAGCAACAGGGGAAAGACAGGAAGAGGAAAAAAACACAGACAGGAGACAGTCTATACCTCAGGGACCCCTACCAAGCTCTACTGAGAGTCCTAGACAGACAAACAGCATATGATAAAAGGATGGCAAAGTGCTTTAGTACACAAAGGAGGACGCTGTTAAGTTATATTAAAGGTTGACCCTTACATATGTCCATGTCCTAGACACCTAGAACCTTGAAACCTAAGAGAATGTTATCTAAGAAGGCAAAGTGTTACCCCACAGGGTTGCAGATGCAATTAAGGATGCTAATCAGTTGAATGTGAAGTGGGGAGATTGTCCTAAATTATCCAGATGAGCTAAGTGTAATAATATGGATCCTGAAAAAGTAAAAAAAGAGGAGGCAAAAAGTGAGTGAGATGTGAAAAGGACACAACTGCCATTGCTGGCTTTGAAGATGGAGGAAGCGGCAACAAATCAAAAAATGTAAGGACCTGTAGAAGCTGGAAAAGGTGAGGAAACAAGTTTCTTCTCCAAAGCTTCCAGAGAGGAATGTAGACCTTCTGGACACCTTGATTTTTAGCTCAGGGAGATGGTACCGGATGGCCATCATACAAAACTTTAAGATAATAAATCTGTGCTGTTTTAAGCCACTAAGATTGTGTAAACTTACTGCAGCAGGGAAACTAATGCATATATTAATTTTAAAGCACTCTCAATACTTTTAGGTCCTGTCTTTTTGAAGCAACCCAACCTTTTCATTCCATCAGGCCCAAAAAGATGGATCTATTTATAAACAAAACGTTCTACTGGGACCTGTCTGGAGTGGTTTAGCTATTTATTTAAAAGGCAAAAGTCACACTCACTGTCGGCACACAGTAAGTTTAAACACACCAAAGTCAGACCAGGAGGACGAACTGTCCTTTTATCTCCTTCTTTAAACTCAGTATTTGCAAAAAATAATTATTTCCAACGCACTCTTCTTACCTAATTTGCTCTGGGCTAAAATTAAGGAGATGGGTTTGTATCTCTGTGGTACCAGCAAAGGTATAAAATGGGCTCTCAATAACCATTTGTTGAATGAATACATGACTGATGAGTCTGACACCGAAGAGTACATATTGTCCTTCTGGATGAGAAATGGTCTCTATAGGACTTCTGTGGACTAGTGATAATCAAGTATGGACCCAACAGAAATACAGAGCTCTGGTCTTTCTCCTTTTCTTTCATGAGACCACTTCTATATACTACATTCTGGTTATGTCAGGATTCCCCAAGGCTTGAAGAGCAAGTGAGGTTGGGTCACAGTGCCATGCTTTATACACATTTGTTTTAAGTTTATACATACTTCAGTTTATTTTCTTACAAGATTGTCTTTAAAGTGTCATGACAGATTTTTGATCATTTTCTGGTGTATTAATTTTCCCTGGACCATAGAAAAGGGGGGAAATCTCCACATTTTCCCATAGAGGATTAGTCTTCTTAAACCCAAAGTCATTTGAGTTTCTAATCCACAGAGTATTGAAGAAAGGGTGGGAAAATATGCAAGAAATAATCGCCTTTGTACCAAAGGAAAACTAGCAACAGACTTTCTTAAAACAGTTGAGGAATAAAACGTAGCCTCTAGCCCACCTTTCACCTCTTTCTCTTTCTCTCTTCCGGAGCATCCTGCATGCACTTAACAAAGCAACGGCTGCAGGGCATGATCAGAGAATCACAAACAACAAATAAAACAACGTTAAAAACCCAAGCAACTTAAAGGGCATTTGGTTGTCATCCACATCCCCAATTTAACAAATGAAGAAAGAGAAGCCCAAATATAAAATTACAAACAAAAGTAAAACTAAGTTGAATAAACACTATTCAGGTGGAAAAATAAGTTCCCTTTTTTCCCCCAAACACAATTTCTGAGGAGAATGATTTCAGCAACCTGTCTACCCCAGAATAGCTTGCAGAAAAAATTGAATCTCAGGATAATTTCCACACAGATTACTCTAATATGGGAGAAAGATCAGCATGCCTATAGGAAGAAATTCTAAAAATCATCCCAATCTATAAAGAAATAATACAATTACCCTGTTCATCTGGACTGATACCAAATCTATATTAAACAATATTTTCTGAAAAACATAGTTTTATTATTTTCAAGTACTTAGAGTATATCAAAAAGAGAACTGTGTTTCCAATGACTGCCTTTTCATTGTCTGCTTAAATCAATTTGATAAAAAAGTCAATATTCAATTAAAGTTTACAAAAAATCTTTTAGTAAAAGCTAGAGTCAGGAAGAAACTTTGTTAATATGGAAAACAATTCTTGAACTAAGTGACAACATTATACTGTTGGAAGCGCTGGAGGGACACTTCCCAAATGTATTTGACCAACGGATTTGCATTTACGTATCTACTAACGATGTGTGTGTGCCAAAGAATGCAGTTTGAGAAATGGTGCAAGAGCCATTTGCCCTTTAAAGTCATGCACAAAACAAGGCTGTCCTTTTATCATAAAAATTCTTTGATACGATTTTGTAAGATCCAGCTAGTAAAGTAAGACAAGAAAACCAAGTACAAATGCTGATTACAAGGAGAAAACTGATAACTCACAGATAATATGATTATTACCTGTAATATCCAAGAATCAATCACGGACCTAGTGGAGTAGTTTTGAAAGATCAAGTTGGCAGTTTATAAAATGTACTCACACAAATCTAGATCTTATACATTTCTAGCTAGAAAATGTAATTGGGAAAAAAACAATCATATTCAGAGTAGGGAAAAAAAATCCAAAACAGTAACAAAAAATCCCACATAATTTACTTAGAAGTATATTTAACCAAAAATAGGTAGAGAATCTTTGAATAAAAATTTACTGAGGAACGGAAAAGACAATAAATATATAGACATTTCATTCTTAGAAGGGTAGAATAAAGATGCTATTTCTCCCTAAATTCATTAATATATTTAATTTCAACAAATATCACAATAGAGATCTTTTTAGAGGAAATGATCTTATAAGTCAAAGTTCAATTAAAGGGATAAATATAAAAGCATCAACTAGGAAATTTTTGAAAATTAAAAATACCATGGGAACGACCCAATCAAAAAATGGGCCATAGAACTGAACAGACATTTCTCCAAAGAAGACATACAGATGGCTAACAAACACATGAAAAGATGCTCAACATCACTCATTATCAGAGAAATGCAAATCAAAACCTCTGAGGGAGTCTAAAGTGGGATAACTTTTTGAAAAGTAATTCAGTAATAGTGCTAAAATGTCCAGACCGTTTAACATGGTTCCATGGGGTAACGGGCCAAGTCCTTCCTATTCATTGCTATATTCCTGCGGCCTAACACCAGTAAGTACCCAGATTTATCTACTGAGTAAGAACACACCAGGAAATAAGTATTCTAAGGCCGTGGAAAGCTGAGAACAAAGATGTTCTCCTGCTGGGGTCACTGGGGGCCTCTCTGCTCCAGGTGACTTTGCTCAGGATGTGTATAGGTCAATAAAGCAGGATGAGTGTGGATGGCTGTAATGTTTGCTATTCAAGAGTAGACTGCTATTTCCAATTCCTCCTACACTGGGCTAAAGGCCTGAGGGTAAAAGGTTATGGCCTGGCATCCCACATTTGGCCAGACTTTGTCTTGAGTGTACCTAAAAGGATTCTGAGGGCCAAAAGATGCCCACTGCCATATACTCTACCTGCTTCTGCACTCTGCAGCTGTTTTTCCCTTGGCTAGAGCAACCAGGAGCTTTTTCATTCTGTGCAGTTTCTTCTCACCCATTTCTAAACTTGCCTGAAGCGTTTTAGAGTCTCCATAATCAAAAAAATTTATTAGTTAGCAATATGCCAATGAAAGTATTCAATATGCTTTTAAAAGCCTGCTTAAAATTAAATGAATGAATGAATAAGAAGTGTGAAGAGGAACATCAAGGTGGCTTGGGTAGGCTTATTCCAAATTCCAAAAGGAAACTGAATCTTAGGATATTTGCATATGTAAACACCCTTGAAAAACAGGATTTCATCTTACTAAGCAAAATTTCAGAAGACTTCATCCTTTGATTTTGTTCACAAATACAGCTTCACTGCTTCAAAATCTCTTTCCTATTTACAACTTTAAGACACTCCTAATTTATAATATCACAGCTATACCCAGTTTCAGTGTTTCACAGAATATAGTGGGGGAGGGAATAGATCTGTCTTTAAGTAAAAATAAGGAAATAATCTTGCGGGAGGAGGACTGTGCTGATTGTACTGCTTAGTTTTTCCATGATTTTCTTGAAAATGCATGTAACACAAAGCTGGAGTTTCCCTGCCCACCCCAACTTCCCCTCTCCTGCTCTCTTCAATGACACACCTTCACCCCATTCTACTGCACTCTGTGTCCTTGGAGAGAACGACTTCTCATTTCCCCAGGAGAATTCCACTGCCCCGAGACAAGCAGATAAAACATATAAAGGAAGAAATAGATGAGGAGAAAGGACTCCTAAGCAACCCAGTACAGTTTCTGCAAACTATTTCAGACCCTAGGAGATAGTAAAGCTACAACAGAAATCTTCAAATTTTTATTTAATATGCTGGAAAGCAAAGACAACATTTCCCCTTTCTGGATATAGTTTTTTTTTTTTTTTTAAAGGTTTCTTTGATAGACAAAAGTTAGATTTCTTTTTGTCTTTTTTACAGTGAGATTCTCTTACAGAATCCCACTGCCTTTTGAAAATGACCTGCCAATAGTAGGAACAGACATCAGGAGAGGTCAGAGTCCCAGGTTATTTAAAATTCCAAATTTAAGCAGGAGGGAGAAGGGGGGACTGGTGTCTGTTCCTTCACTAAGAACTGAGTTCTTCCCAGCTTGCCAAGTCCTTGCTCTCACGTGGCTTAAGTTCCACAGGAGGTGAGTGGGAATCCAGCAACAATAACAGAGATTTAATATTTGTACACCCAACTACTGTCTTCGAAGCACCTTCTCATACATTCTCAGATCTAATGCTCAAACCACACCGGTACTGCTGGGCTCAGACATTCACTGTCCTGCACAAGGTCGAGTTCATAAATGGCAGAGCCAGCCCGGTCATACCCACTCTCACCCATGCTGGTGAGGAAGGCAGGCTGAAGAGTCAAGGGCTGGCACTCACATCACCGTCTCTTTTGGGGTCCTGAGTGCAGCTTTAAGGCCTGCATTCCTCCATGATTTTATGAAGAATGTAGCTGCTTTTAAAACTGCTAAATTATTATTGCCTCTCTTTCTCTTTGAAACAGCAAACCTGAAAAACTGTCCATCCCATTTCTTTTATGTGACAACAGCAACAAAAGGGGGTTTATTACGCTGCTGTGCTAGAGAAAGACTGCCACCCAACCCCAGATCCTGATTCCCCTGATAACTCCTGGCATCCATCTAGGGCAGCTTTTAATTGGGCCAACATCTGGAAAGAACAGAACCTTTATGTGACAGAGTTGGGAAAAGAATACCTTTTTAAAAAAAATTTTTTGTTGTTGTTGAAAGATAATTGCTTTACAGAATTTTGCTGTTTTCTGTTAAACCTCAACATGAATCAACCATAGGTATACGTATGTCCCCTCCCTTTTGAACCTCCCTCCCATCTCCCTCCCCATCCCACCCCTCTAGGTGGATACAGAGCCCCTGTTTGAGTTTCCGGAGCCATACAGCAAATTCCCATTGGCTGTCTATTTTACAAATGGTAATGTAAGTTTCCACGTTACTCCTTCCATACATCTCACCCTCTCCTCCCCTCTCCCCATGTGCACAAGTCTGTTCTCTATGTCTATTTCTCCACTGTTGCCCTGTAAGTAAATTCTTCAGTACCATTTTTCTAGATTCTGTATATATGTGTTAGAATATGATATTTATCTTTTTCTTTCTGATTTACTTCAGCACTGCTTATTATTAGAGAAATACAAATCAAAACTGCAATAAGATATCACCTCACCCAGGTCAGAACGGCCATCATCAAAAATTCAACAAACAATAAATGCTGGAGAGGGTGTGGGAATATAAATTGATACAGCCACTATGGAAGACGGTATGGGGATTCCTTAAAAAAACTAATCCCACTCCGAGGCATATACCCTGAGGAAACCAAAATTGAAAAAGAATACCTCGTAAAATTCATTGTTGTGACTTCCCTGGTGGTCCAGCGGCTAAGACGCTGCACTCCCAATGCAGGGGGCCGGGATTCAATCCCTGGTCAGGGAACTATATACCACATGCTGCAACTAAAACCCAGCGCAGCCAAAAAAACAGATAAGCCCAAATTCCACTCCTGTGTTCCCCAGTTCCCTCCCCCCAACATATCTCACCTCTAATTGCAGATCCTGAACTGTAGGTTCAAGAACATATCTCTCCGGAAAGTCTATAATAATCTTAGAATTAAGAAGAAAAAAGTGATACATCTCTTGAACACTACGTGCCAGGCACTGTGTGGGGCCCTACGGATGTCTGGATGATTGGGCAAGACCCCTGCTCTCTAGCTGCTCCCGGTACAGCAGGAAGGACATAACTGCAGGCGATTATTACAAAACAAAGTCATCCATGATATAACAGAGGTAAGTGCAGGAGACTGAGGGCCGCCTGGGAAGCAGTGACTAACAGTCACCGCCTGGGAGCATGGCAAGGGCCAAAAGAGAGCTGTCTCTAGAATGAAGGCATTCACAGTGATCAGCCTGGGCACCGAGGACCTGGGATAGACACAGTGTGGCTGGAGTCAGGGGTGTGTTCAAGGTAGCAGCAGGAGGTGGGGACACGCCCAGTGAGGGGAAGACTATAAAGGATTTGTGTGCTGTGGAGCATGGGTAGGTAACGGAAGGCCAGTGGAAGATCCTAAGGGAAGGACTTGGCCAGTTTTGTTTATTTTAAAAATCTGACACTCTGGAGGAGGGTATGAGGTAGTACCAAAATGTGGGTGTTCCTTAGCCTGGGGGCCTCGCTTTTCCATCTATCTCACTGTGAATCTACAGTCTGACAAACTAAAGCAGAACCCTGACCTCTTCCCTGAGTCCTAAACCCACACTTCTAACTACCTACTTGATTCTCCGCTTCAGTGGCTCACTGACACCCTGAAACTGACATGTCCGGATTGGAGACCTTGATTTCCCCTCACAACCCTTCCCCCATATCATCCTTTTCCATCTTGATAAATAGTCACAAAAGCCACTCACGTGCTCAAGTTAGAATGCTGGCTCATCGATCATTCCAGTCATGCCCTCACCCCCACTTGCAACCACAAACCAGTCCAGTCCATCCTAACTCTGAAGTATACCTTGAATTTACTCCTTTCCCTCTTCCTAGCCTACCACCTTAGCGTACGCTTCTGCCTATTTCTCTAAGCCAGGGTTTCTCAGGCTAGTACTGCTGACATTTGTGGGCAGACAGTTGTTTCGGGGGACAGTCCTGTGCATCGCAGGGTGTGTAGCAGTATCTCTGGGTCTAGTCGCTGGACACGAGTTGCATCCCCTCCCCCGAGATGTGACAGCATTGTCTAATGACCCTGGGGGACACCAGCCCTAGTCGAAACCACTGCTCGCACTTCACTCCATCTCTCTCTTCCAGGCTTGGGACCCTCCATTACACTGGCCTCGCCTTTAGGTGCTTGAATTCATGCACCCCTTCCTGCCCCCAGGGCTCAACGGAAGCTGTTCTATCAAGAAAGTTCTCAATCCCACTCTTCTGTTAGCTGGCTCCTTCTCAAGCTTGTGATCCCAGCCCTGGGTCACCTCCTTAGAACCCCCTGAACACCTTATCTAAAAGGTAGCAGCCCTGCCTGTGCTGATATTCTTCATAACGCTTTTAAAGGCAGTAATCATTTTATTATGTCTACTTTTTCTGGTCGTCTCTACCACAAGTACAAAAGCAGGATCAGGGCCGGATTATGTCTATCCTGCCTCTATCTTACCTCCAAGGCCTAGCTCAGTGCCAAGCTAAATAAATATTTGCCAACTAAATAAATGAGTGAATCCACAGATGTATCATACGATCAGAGATACATTTTACAGCCCAGGCACTGACCACACCCTTAAAAACAACAAAGCCACAACATGAAAAATTAGCTCAGAAGAACTAGAATGTCACCAAGACAGTCTATATATCAGCTCTGTGCTCAATAACCAAATGCAGCCTGGTCCATAATGCAAAGTAGATGACAGCACACCTTGGATGAAAAGAAAGCTCTGACATGACAGTAAGAGTGGCTCATCTTCTCTCCACTGGGAAAGAAGTGCAGCTAGGCCCTATGACTGAACCCAACTCTTCATAACTCCTTATTTTCCTTATAATTACACCCAATTTATATCCCTGGTGTCTAGGGGTGTGTGTGTGTGTATTGGGAGCTGAACAAAATACATTCAGGAGGATAGAATATCTGATCACTACAATCTCCAGAGACCCCATCCACCCTCTTTTTCTCCTCTCCCTAGTGATGTGCTGTGTGTCTTTGGGGTGAAGGCTTCCAAGCAGAGAGTGAGTCTCTTCACTGTCCTTTCATAAGGAAAGTCTCAGACACAGTGAACGGAACTCACCAGAAAAGATCATCCTTTCATAACAAAAGCATCAGACATAGTGAACTGCATTCACCAGAAAATGTAGCTGTGCTTTTGGGGGAACTTGATTCCCATAGGGGAAAATAACTTCTAAAATAGTCACCCTTGGACCCAGTGCTTCCTTTATCAGATCTTTTAGCCACTGAGCAGATTTTTAGTGAGACACTACTCCCCCTGTGACAGTCTATGGAACGGTTAGCTTTTAAAACAGTCCAGAATATGCCACCCCTCCAAGCAGATCTCAACCCTCCCTGTCAATTTGGAGTGCTGTGGTCAAGAATGATTTTTGAAGTTACGACGTTCTCATTTTATTTCCCATGTCCTGGCCAGTGCCCATGGGATCGATTTGTTTTTCATTTCAAAAAGACTATGTACTCTAGTCAACTCAGTGGACATGAGTTTGAGCAAACTTCAGGAGATGGTGAAGGACAGGGAAGCTTGGCGTATTGCAGGCCATGGGGTTGCAAAGAGTCAGACATGACTTAGTGACTGAACAACGATGTACTTTCTAGAGAAGAGTAGTCTTGAGGCTACAATTCGGATTCTATCCTCAGAGGTGAAACACTTTGGAGGAGAAAATTTGGCTTCTGAACCACCAAATTAGGGAAATCATGCTTTAAAATTGTTGAATTTTGTTCATTTTTCTCATTCGAAAGATGGCTGGGTTTGTCTGTGCCGCCGGCCCCCAGTGTTCTACTGGATAATGGAGTGTCTTTCCATTTTAATGTCTGTCGCAGGCACCACAGTGTTCAGAGGATAGTGTACTGGTTCCATGATCTCTAGGATCTGACAGACTCTAGAGAGAGACAGTTGGGGTTAGAATCCCAGTTTTATCCTGCCACTTACTGGTTGTTCTGTGGTCCAGAGCAGGTTACTTAACCTCTCAGTACCTCATTTTCTCCTCTGTCCTAATTCATAGGGTTGTCGTAAGAGTGAGTTAGTAATTCTAAAGTGCTTAAAATGGTGGCTAGTATATGTTAAGCACTTAATAAATGTTAGCTCTTATTACCAGCATAGCTTTGAAAGTGCTTTCAGTTGGTAATAATTACACTTTAACCTGATGAAATAATAGATTTCAGGCTAGAATATACCCACTTGAGTTTGATAAATAAGATGCTTCCAGCAACCAATGATCCAAACGTCATAAAATATTAAAAGTCCTGAACAAGCACATGGCATATGTCCTATTAGCATCTGTTAAGTAGATAAATACCTAGAACCTAACACACATTGTCTATCATCTTTTTTTGGAATCCAGAATGAAGAATTTCAGAATTTTAAAATTCTATGATCTTATGCAATATCTTAAGAGCTGCCTTTAAAAATCCTTAAGCACACGAGGAGAGGGAAGTGGGGTGGTAGTGATAAAAATGGTTAAGCCCTGAGCATTGCGACAGGGACTGGCTGACCAGACCAGAACCCCATTGGCCAAGCTGCGCAGGGAGGCATGCAGATGGCCTGTACATTAACCCTTTTAACTTGAAAACAAAAGTGCCCTTGTGCCTGGGAGCAGGAGCTCCAGCTCAGATGGCCCAACTGGCTATGGAAACACTGGAAACTCCAGCCTCCCAGCCTGCCATGAACATCAAATGCAACAATGCAGTGTTTCTTGTTGCCCCGGAAGGAAGCTGTGCAGTAAGTTTGGGGTGTGCCCTGTTATCCCCTGGAGTCAGAGTTTGGGGGCGTTTCCATGGTTAACCAGGATGCAGAAGCATAACAAACCTGGGTGGCTTAACAAACAGGATCAGGGCCAGATGAGTGCTAAAAGAGGTCAGTTAGGAATGAAGAGCTCAGGTAATCACTCTGGGCTGGAATGGGGGGCTTCTCTTATTTACAAGTTGCAGATCATTTTCACTTAATTACCTGCCACATCTTGCTTGAAAGTCATCAAGGAAGATTTCAAACCACTTGCTTGAGGACTTTTCGAGAAAGAAGTCAGAAGGGCAGGTGATCCTCTATGAAAGCTGACAGACTTGGAGGAAAGATCTGTACAAAGGGGTGGATGGCAATGGTAGATGATTATACATGCTTCTACATCAAATGAGATTAGGGCTCCCCCTCTCTGAACGGGGCAGCTCATTTCCTTGTTGCTTAATTTTAAAAGCGCCAAGGAAGCCCACCACTAGAAGCACCTCTTTCTCTCTTATTTCTGAAACCCCTGCTGTCGGGAAGGAAAGACTGTCTTCTTTCAGCTCCATCTACCCTCTGGTGCCCAGGCCAGACCAGGGCCAGCTCCAGAATGCTAAGTGACACTTCTCCCCCTGAGCCCAGCACTGGGGGAGGTAGTGCTGGGCACTACCTGCCATGCAGGCATGGCACTGCCTGCCATGCTCCGTTCTAACAGAACTAATCTGATTAGAAATCAGAGGCTGAGAGATCCTGCCTTTGCTAATTCAACAAAGACTTCACTCTTTGGCATTCCATTTTTCCCAGGACTTGTTCACACTGTTAAATCATTTGATTCTCACAGTGCTGTGAGCTGGTAAAGGCAGGTATTAAGTATATTTCATTAGTGAGAAACATTAAGATTCAGATCAATTAGGGAAAGTGTCTAAAATGATACAGTGTGTGCATGCTCAGTCACATCCGACTCTTTGCGACCCCATGGGGTGTAGCCTGCCAAGCTCCTCTGTTCACGGGATTTCCCAGGCAAGAATACTGGAGTGGGTTGCCGTTGGCAAGGGATCTTCCCACTGAAGAGACTGAACCCACGTCTCCTGCATCTCCTGCAACGGCAGGCAGATTCTTTACCACTGAGTCACCTGGGAAGCCCAAGATGATACAACTAGTATCTACAAGAGCTGGACTCATATCTGTGAGTCTGCGCTCAGTCACTGACATCTATCCTCCACTTAAAAGGGGAGTTGGGTTTGACTGAAAAACCTTCTCACTACTAACATTTTAATAGTTCTTTGCTGTGAGCTCTGCTCTGGCCAGAGTAGGATACAGCATCACTGGCTTCTACCTCCTCGATCTCAATAGCACCACCCTCCAATTGTGACAAACAAAACGTATCCAGACATTGCTGAGTGTTCCCTGGTCACTGGTTGAGAACCACTGGTTTAGGGTGTTGTGGATTAAGATGGATTAGGAATAATATAACCTAGCAGGACCCTGTGGGGCCTTCCCAGGACAGGCCTTCCCCCCTCCCCACATGCTCTGCTTCAGCTCCTCTCTAAAGTACATAGAAAATGGTACTTGATGCAAATTTCCTGAGTTGTTTCGCAGATGTGAAAATGCCCCACCAAATGGAAGATGTTAACCACTTGATGTCCATGAGCAAACAGCCCCAGGTCTCCTTGAGCCTAGGGACTGATGAAGGTAACCCCCATGACACCACCCTGCTCCCTCAGCATCAGCCAATCAGAGAATAGTTTACAATCTGATCAGTATCCTGTGACTCTCTCTCACCTGGTTTTTTAAAATGCTTTGCCAAACAGGGGCTCTGTGACAATCTAGAAAGGTGGGATGGGGATGAAGGTGGGAGGAATGTTCAGGAGGGAGGGGACATGGGTGTACCTATGGCTGATTCTTGTTGATGTGTGACAGAAAACCACAAAATTCAATAAAGCAATTATCCTTCAATTAAAAAAATAAAGTCATAAAAAAAAAGCAAAAAAATGCTTTGCCAAAACCCTTCAGGGAGCTCAAGAATTTTTAGGGCCTGAGCTTCCGTGCATGGCCCTGCAATAAACCTTTCTCTGCTCCAAACTCCACCTCACTGTGTGTGGGAACATGAGCTTATATTAACACTAACACTCAGAAGGCCAGAAGTTCACTCTTCCTATAGACCAGTGGAGGTTTACTGATGACAAGGGCTGCTCAATGCAGAGACAAAGTTGTCTCTGTTCAGCTACAGAGTGTAGCTCCATCAGGGCAGAGGCAAGGGTCTTATTTCTGGAAGTGGAGGCTTTCTAGAGTCTAAACGGAAGAAGAGCAGTTAGCGCTGGGATGCACGCCAACTCTCCCTTCTTCCCATCTCAAAATGTTATTTTTCCAATTTTTGAATAAGAAAAACATTTATATGGTTCAAAGTTAAATATGCATCAAAAGTACATACAGAAAAGCTTCCTTCGACCTAAGATTCCCACCACCCAGTTCTCCCCAGAGGCAGGCAATGTTGACATCTGCCTGTGTATCTTCCCATGGATGTTTTATAAAAGAGCTTGTATTTAAATAAATATTTCCTCTTAGTTCAAAGTATTGCTGAGTCATGAGTTCACTCATGTTTCAAAAGTCATTAGAGGGAGGGAGGTGGGAGGGGGGTTCAGGATGGGGGACACATGTACACCCATGGCTGATTCATGTCAATGTACGGCAAAAACCACTACAATACTGTAAAGTAACTAGCCTCCAATTAAAATAAATAAATAATTTTTTTTAAGTCATCAAGGACATCTTCACTGACAGTGTGGACCGAGGAAGGCGTGGCTCCCCCCAAATGTCCCTGCCTGCCTCCACGGAGAGGGACACAGGCTGAGACAATGGATTTACATGACAACCTAAGTCTTAAGAATAAAAAAAATTAAAAAATGACCCTGGGAATTTGGGTCAAGGACCCTGTTTATAGCTAGAGTGGTCAGTTTCCTACTAGGGCACTGTGAGTGCTCTTAAGAAGTGTGCCCATCTTGGTGGGAATTGGTTACGACGATGAAGAGATCATCTGAAGTCGAGGTACTGGTGCTAAGGATGGACGCTCCAGACCTACAGTAGCCTGTGGAAGTCATCAAAACCAGAATCTCCTGGGGGGAGGAGGCCCTGCTGTGAGCAGGCCCAGGATGGAAGGAGGAGGAGAGGAGGGAGGGTGACAGGCTTGGAATGACAACTTCTGGCTAGAGAGGTGAGAAAGGGAGAAAGGCAAATGGTGGCACTAAAAATTTCCCATGCCTGTCCACAGCCAGCCAACTTGGAAACACTGGCTGATTCTGATGGACAAGTCACAAAATTAGGACATCCTATGGCTGGAGCTTTTCATGTTCCTGATAGAGAATTGCTAGGTGACCTGGGATAAGCCATTGAACCATAATGACATACTTGTTTTGGAAGGGTGGGAGTAGATGTGGGCAATTTCCTCACATCCAAGAGAAAGAAAACTCAGGCCTCCAGCATTGGTATTTTATTCAAGTTTAAACCACTCATAAAGTGAACTGATGTCCTGCTTTCTGCTTCCTTCTTTCCTTCCTTATGCTAAGTGACCTTTTTTTAAAAAAAATCTCATCTTCAAACTTCTCTAGTTCCACCAATGGTAGAAAACTTCTATCAGTTACTATGATTGAAAACTTCCAGGCCAACTTTCATTGTAATTTGTACTGTCATTTTATCATGTCACTAACCACCAAACCAATGTCACAGTACCTCACTGCCTAGAATTGTGCTGTCTAATATGGTAGCTGTTAGCCACATGTGTTTATTTAACTAAAATTTAAAAAATTCCTTCCTCAAACACATGGGTCACATTTCAAAAGTCCAACAGCCACATAACAGCCTTTAACTACTGTATTAGTACAGATCATAAAACATTTCCATCACTGCCAAAAGTTCTGATGGACGGTGCTGGCTCAGAATATGAAATCCAAAGGCCTCCAACCAGCACTCAAAGCTAGCCGTCACGTACAGCCAGGCCACACTTCCAAAATTTCCTCTGCTTTCTCCAAACAATGACACTTAGCTTTGTTTAGGCCAGACTTGTGTTCCTCCAACAAATTACATTCACCCCCGAAGATTCTGTGCCTGAGCCTACTCAGTTCCCCATCACTGAGACACATGAGTAAATCAATCAACACACAGGCCCTGAACGAGTGGGATTTTCTACCATGACAAAAAGCAATGAGGTATCCAAGAAATTTTTATCCCAGCAAAATGTTCTGCTAACAAACAAGTCCCAAAAAAGGACGTTTCCCCAGAAGACTGTAATGAGCTTTGTGCTCATCAGGATTTGCTAGAGAATTAAGTAAAATGCCACTCATATTGGCACTTAATATCAATTTGACTTATTTAATTTTTTCATGTGGGTCTCCTATTTTTTTTCTTTTAAATAAACTGCATGGATATAGGAAGAAGGGACCAGGCCTTACACGCATTTCTTTTACATCTTCCTCTCCTATCTCACCTCCTTACCCAGACAGTGCAGAGATTACAAACTGGCCCCCATGTGAGGACAAGATACAATTGATACAGTTTGTTGCTTTTTTCAGAGTGGTTTTGTTTTGCACAGAAAGTTTGCTTTATTTAGGAGACCAGCACCTGCGGAAACAGTGGATTCCTGTCCAGAAACCAACTGCAAAATTCTGCCAGACCATGAAGGTTTTTAAAGGGAGAATCATTCAGGGAAAAGGGTCAGAGTCTTTGTTATCGTCCACTGTGTACAGACTTCCTGAGTGTGTTTTTGAATAATTTTGAGTCAGTTGCCAATCTTTCAACAGTTAGGAGTTTTACATCGGAATCCACATTCTTTATTTCTTGAAAAATCAGTTATCTGGCAACCCTGGGTAAGGCCTCACACAAAGGTTTATTAGCTGGTGCTTAAGGCCATCTGTCCCCTTTACAGAAGGAATGTATCCTCTTGTTTACCACCTTCTTTCTGCTTGTTTTATTCCCTTATTATCTGCCTGGCCCCTGAGGCCTGGGCATTTACAATTCTTGCAGAAGATAGCCAATAAATGAACTGAGAACAGAAACACCACACTCCTTAATAAAGCCAGGCAGCTCTTAATACCTGTCTTCATGGGCAACATGTTTGTTTTAAGCAGCTAAAATCAAAATTCTTATCTCAGTCATTAGCAGAAGGCATTAACCTTCCCAACTGATTTTAACTATTCTTCCTGGGCTTGCCAGGAACTGATAATGGATTAGAGAAATAGTCAACCGTAGGAACAAAAAGCAGTCAGCCTAAATAGTCACATGAAAATAATTGAGACTTAGAGAGCATAACTGTGTTCCATGAACTCTGAGTGTTCCCTAAAACACGTGGACATCACAGCACTCATGATGCTGAGTGTTGCTGGCAGCTGCCCAATGAATCTTGATACAGAAAACCTAAACCTTCTCATTAACTCTAACCCTATATTGATTTCTCCTCTTCTGAACCTTTGTTACAGACTACTGTGTTCTAAAATTGTTTTCATGTCTTGGTGCTCCCACTCAATTGTAAGTTCCTTATAAACTCTTGTGATATTCTTCTCACACCTAGCACCCAAGATGGGTGTTCTTAACCTGGACTGTCTTCAGTCACAGGCAAAATCCAGTGGGTCATTTAAAATCACGTCTGGTCTCCAGAACGTACCTTTCCCTCATTTTTGAAAACAGGGATGATATCTGTCATCTCCTGACTTTTGGTAAGTCTTCTAGTCTCCTAATTTTTCAAAGTTCACTCAGTGGTTTCCCTATTCTAGCTTCAAGTTCTTTTATCTGGGAAATGGTTTAACTGGGCCTAAAGACGAGCACATCTGCAGCAGATAATGTAACTCCTGCTATCAACTCTTTTAAGTCCACCATTAACACCTCCAGTTTAAAGACCTTTTGCTTAATGTTAAAGAATTAAATTGAATAGTTTTAGCTGAGCCATTACCTGCTAGCAAAGCAACACTTTTTCTCTACATAATCCCTTCTCGTTTTGTACATCAACAGAATATTAACTGAGGGCTACAGTTCTAGGCATTGTGTTGTGCTATGGTGCTTTTCTTATAAAAAGGCTAAACACCTCTTCTCTTGTTAATCTTCCTTTTAAAATCAGAGATCATTAAAAAGCTATATCATCAACACATGAAAAGACATCATTGTTTTTGTCCTCAAGTTTCCTGCATCTTCTCTAATTTATCAGAATCGTTTTCAGCCCTACAATGTGATTTTTAGTTTTTATAACCTTCCCAATATGCTGAGCCAAATTTCTTGTTAGAGACATTCATCACAGAATCATACCTGTAATATTATTGAAAACCTACTTTACTACTTCTTGGGCAAGATACACTTAGCAGACTCCAAGTCACATTCCTTCTATCACTTGTGCATCACTAGAGAGCGCCTGTAAAGCAGAACAGAGTCAAGAATCACAGTGCATCTTGAAGCTGTCTGAGAAAACGGCCTGAAAGTGATCTGAAGCAATGTCAGGCTGGCAGTCTGATGATCTCTGTGTTGGTCTCATGTTTGACCGAATTTACAAAGAGTCTTGGGTATGTCAGGTAGGATTTCATTTTCTACCCATGCTTAAAAATAAATAATAATGTATTGCTGTCTTTGTTCAGATTTACACATTTTATAAGCTACAACATGACACATGAGAGCTTGTGAATATTTACTCTACCCTTCCCCATACACATCACCACTTTGGGTGGAAACCGCTCTCATTTATACCTCTGTTTATACTCCAGGTTTGGCTGAGTGGAAAAGTCAGAAGAAAAGATATGCCAGGAAGAAGCACATATTATTCCACATGAAAATCGAACAGGAAATATATCATGTAAGTTCCATGACCTGAATCTGTGGGTAGATCACATGGCTCATGTACTTTATGACAGAACTTCTTGCTAGTTATCCATTACAGAGTAAAATGCAAAAGGAAATGTTAAGGTATAATAAACCTATGATACACAAACCTTCTACTCCCAAGAGAGAAGGAGAGCAAGGTCTTTTAAAAGGTAAAATGTATAGTCAATTTAAAATTAGGAACAGTGGTGCTTAGGGACATATATTACCCAGTAATGCTTCTGAACATCAGCTTGGTTGCCAGGAACCAAGAATTTATTGAAGTCAAAGAGTAGTCAGGCAAGATATGTTGGGAAGTGTGGAAAGAGATTTTTGTGAAATGGGCTGAAGACATGGAATCTGAGAGGCTTAGTAAGGGGTGCGATGAAATTTCATGTTAAAAATCTTTTTTAAGGGTGGAAAAAGTTTAAAATTTTTGTGGTAAGTAGCAAGTCAATTAAAAGATTCTATGGTAGACACAGAACACTTCACACACATAGGGCCTTCTTCTTAGGAAGGGTTTTCAAATAACTATCGTCTGTTGATATTCTATCATAGTAACTGTGGTGGGCAAAAAAATGTCCCCCACCCCCACCCCGAGAGGTCCACACCCAAATCTTGGGATCTGTGAATATACTACACTACACGACAACAAGGAGTAAGGGTGGAGAGGAAATTAAGGTTGCTAATCAGATGACTTTAAAATAAAGGGAGTATTCTGGATTATCCAGGGGGGCTCAATGTAATCATAAGCATCCTTTACAGCAGTGGTTCCCAACCTTTTTGGTACCAGGTACTGGCTTTGCGCAAGCAATTTTTCCAAGAACTGGGTGGGTGAGGGGGTGATTTCAGGATAACTCAAGCAAAGCAGCTGCCTTGGTGGCTTAGTTGGTAAAAGAATCCACTTGCAATGCAAGAGACTGCCTGCAATACAGCAGACCCGGGTTTGATCCCTAGGTCAGGAAGTTCCCCTGGAGAGGGACACGGCAACCCACTCCAGTATTCTTGCCTGGAAAATCCCTTGGACAGAAGAGCCTGGTGGGCTACAGTTCATAGGGTCACAAAGAGTCAGATGGCATGACTGAGTGAGCAAACTACCATCAAGAGCATTACATTTATCGTGCACTTCATTTCTGTTATTATTACATCAGTTCTACATCAGATCATCAGGTGTTAGATCCTGCAAGTTAGGGACTTATGATTTAAAGTATCAGAACTGGAACTTTCCTGGCAATCCAGAGGTTAAGACTTATCTTCTAATGCAGCGGGTGCAGGTTCAATCCATGCTCAGAGAGTTAGGATCCCATATGCCTCAGCAGCCTCCCCCCCAAAGCAAAACATAAAGTAGAAGCAATATTGCAACAAATTCAATGAAGAGCTTTAAAAAGTGTCAGAATGATAAGGCCTGATAAAGACTCAATTGGCCTTTTCTGGCTGCAAAGGAAATCATGACTCGGAGAACACAGGTAACCTCAAGAAGCTGGAAACAGCAAGAAAACGGATTCTTCCCTGGAGCCTCCAGAAAGGAAGGCAGTTCTGTGGACACCTGGCTCTCACCCAGTGAGACCTATGTCAGACTGGTGACCTACAGAACTGTAAGATAATACATTTATGTTGTTTAAGCTGCTAATTTTCTGGTCATTTGTTACAGAAACAGGAAGCTAAGGCAGTAACTTCCATACAAATGCTTTGGAGGAAGCAAAGGCTTATGGCAATATTAGCATTCTAAACAACGAAACAGTTCCTCTTTCTGAGATGAAAAAAGAAAACAACACACTCATTCACCTTTTTATAGGTTTTCTCTTCATTTTGTTTCCCAGGTGCCGTGTCTCCATTCTCAGCAGCAGACGACATCTATAAGAAAGAAGTGGACCTATTTGAATTTAGAAGTTCTACACTGAAATACAATAGGCTAATAATATTGTTACCTAGAGAGTCTATTTCGGTTAATTACATTTTCGTTGTTATGGCTGTGGTCTCTAAGAAAGGAAGAAATTTCTCAAAATACTAAGAAAAAAAAAATTCTGTGTTCCCCAATCTTTCCAAAATAACGCTTTACTTATAAACCATTTTGGTAGCATACTTTACTCCATATGCTCTAAGAAAGGTGCCATGGAAGTCCAAGCCCAGATCATGTGTATAAGTTTCTTTCTACAAACTCTTAAACCCTTTTCCTTCTGGTTATATATGTCTCCTGTAAAACTATCTGGAAAGTACCAAAAAATATGAATCACAACAAAACAATTACTCAGTTCTACTGCCCTTGGGCAACTCTACTACTCACATTTTGGTATATTTGTTTCCACTTTTGTTCCATGTACTTTCATATGAAAAATATTATGATACCATCTTAATCCAGCACTTCTCACTGAACATTTATGTAATGAGCATTTTCCCATTTGAATATAAAAACCTCAGTGTAGGAATAATTTTTGCTAGCTGCAAGAGACACCACTGTGTGAATACAATAGTGTGTTAATACTTTAGTTAACAATGCCAATATTGAACGACAGTTGACGTGGTCCAGGGGTTTTGTTTCCACAAATAATGTAATAGTAATGATTTTGTGCTTCTATCTTTGTCCAACTTCAATGTTTTATTGAACTAGTTTCCCAGAATTATTAGGTCATTAAAAAATTGAAAGCTCTTACCACATATTGCTAGATTTCTTTCCTAGAAGAATATACCCATTCACACTATCAGCAGTGAGTGGGAGCTGGTTTCATTACATGCTTAGCAATGACTATGATCATTTTAACTATCTTTGCTAATTGGACAGGTAAAAGAAAGTACCTCCTGACTTTAATTTGCCTCTTTGAAAATTGTTAGTGAAGGTTAACATTGTTTATATGTCTTTTTTTTTTTTAGCTCTCTGTATTTCTTCTTTCAGCTTTTCTATTATATCGCTCACTGATCTATTGGGATTTAGTGTCTTAGGTATTGACTTTTTACCTTTTTAGTGGTTTCCTTATTGGTGTTTAATGTATTGAGGTTATTAAGCTGCTTACAGCACATTATTAGTATCTTCCATGCTCCTTTCTTTTAATTTGGTTTATAATTATGGCATGGAGAAGTTTTACATTTTTATACTTAAAACTATTGACTGTCTTTGTGATTTATTCCAATGCTTTTATATAAAAACTTTTTCATTGTGAGGTATCAGATATTCAAACATGTGTTCCTCTCATCATTTAATAATAAGATTTTTGTATATTCTAATTCATCTGACTTCTTAAAGTCAGTTACTTACGTGGTAAATAAGGGTGACGACATAATCAGAGAGCTGTGATATTTAAGGGCCACATCTTAAATTGCAATGAAGAGCATTCTGAACACCAGAGAGAAACTTCTGACTTTCTCATAAGACTTTGAAGCACATTTTAAATCCTGGGCTTTTAATAAACAGTGTGGGTGAAGACTAAGAACCTGCCAGCCATTTCTCTATACTGGAACAAAATGACTGCCACGAGCTGGATGTGACTAAAAACCACCCAAGAAAATGAAAGTATGGACTGCGGCAAGACAATCTCACCAGACCTATGACTGCCTACCAACCCAAGCATTCTCTTAGATAAGAGTTCAGTTCCATTCAATCTATCCATATTAGAATATAAAGTTTTCAAGGACAGATGTTTCATACACTACTGTTTCCCACTCTCTATGTGCTTAATTTATTAAAAGAATAATTGACTTTTCTAGTCTCTTCATGGTATTTTGGTGAGATGTGAATAACATATAGAATTAGAATATCTGTTTTATAATATCAGGCTCAGGATAAAAACCAAACCCAATCCTGTATCATCCCTCTTGAAAGCTCAAATTACATAATCACTTTAAGAATATACAGGGAGTAATCGAATATTTGATCCCAATTTCTATATTAGGGTATGTTAGTGTAATTTAGTACATACTACTACTAATAAGTAAGAGTAGGGTTTTCTTTAATCCTCAACTGTTTAATAGGGCCCACAGAATGAAGATATCCGTAAAGAATGTCATTTCAGTAATTTCACTTTATCTAAGCCTTTGCAGCTTTTAAAACTGAAAAACTTCAAGAGCATAGCTGAAGGGGCTTGAAAATACAGCCTTAATGAAGGGTTGACAAATGGCATGAATGAAGGACAGGTGATTAGATGGTTTTTGTTATTTTGCAAATCATTCCTTACTGGACAGTAGGACAGAGGAGGAGAGAAATACGTAAGCTTAATATATTAAAAAAAACAAAACAACAATTCCCTTTAGACAGTACAAGAGAGATAATAATGTTAAAGGGAGGCCATGAGATATCACCTGGCTTCAAAGTTGTTTTTTGTTTTTTTTTTGTTTTTTCCTCTGTAGGATGATGATTTTTTTTTTTTTCCGGTAGGATGATGTTTAACAAAGCCCACGTGGACCTATTCACCATGTAGGATATCCATGTAGGAGAGGCAAATGAGATGCTTGGGGATGCCCTGGTTAACTGTAAATGTTATTAAAATGGTCACAGTGATAATTACAGTGACTTCCCAGGTGTCTCAGTGGTAAAAGAACCCATCTGCCAAGATTCAGGAGAATTGGGTTCGATCCCGAGGTTGGGAAGAGCCCCTGGAGGAGGGCATGGCAACCCATTTCAACCCATTTCAGTATTCCTGCCTGGAGAATCCCATGGACAGAGGAGCCTGGCAGGCTATAGTCCTAGGGTTGCAAAGAGTTGCACACAACTGAAGCGACTTACCATGAATGTGATAATTACTGTTTGTTCCTAGACTTGTAACGTTCTGCACTAGTTAAGGTACATCACTTATATAATAACTATGGAAGCCAAGGTAAGTATGGATTAAAAATATTGTTTTTAAAAACATTATAATCATATATATTTCTACATATGAGTACAAGGAAGAAGGAAAGACATTCACAGAAGTACTGGTAAGTATCTATAGATGATGAGATTGTGAATGCTTTGTGTTTCCATGTTAACTTTTTGCTATATTGTCTAAGTATTCTGCAGTAAGCACTGCTATATTTAAAAGTAACGAAAACACTAACACGTGTCAGATATTTAACCACACACAGTAATTAACAGCAGAGACCATATCTCCTGGGTTCTGCCCCTTTCAGCATAACAACATCCACAAAATTTCCTCTTCCTATTTGCTTATTTTCTGTTTTTAATCTCATACTGTCAAAGTTAAAGGCCAAGAACTAGATACATGATTTATAGTATTTGTAAACATAATGAATCCACTGGAAATAATTAAAATATAGACTGTACTTCCTTACCTTTGTAAATGAAATGGCCAGTCATCTGTAGTTGGTTGTGCTGAGTGTCCTATTCATTGTTGAGACTGTTTTCCTTCCCAGGTTTCTGTTAAAATAGAGACCACTGGTCATTATTTATTCACACCTCTCTTTCATACTTCCCAGGTGTCTCAGTGGTAAAAGAACCCATCTGCCAAGATTCAGGAGAATTGGGTTCGATCCCGAGGTTGGGAAGAGCCCCTGGAGGAGGGCATGGCAACCCATTTCAACCCATTTCAGTATTCCTGCCTGGAGAATCCCATGGACAGAGGAGCCTGGCAGGCTATAGTCCTAGGGTTGCAAAGAGTTGCACACAACTGAAGCGACTTACCATGAATGTGATAATTACTGTTTGTTCCTAGACTTGTAACGTTCTGCACTAGTTAAGGTACATCACTTATATAATAACTATGGAAGCCAAGGTAAGTATGGATTAAAAATATTGTTTTTAAAAACATTATAATCATATATATTTCTACATATGAGTACAAGGAAGAAGGAAAGACATTCACAGAAGTACTGGTAAGTATCTATAGATGATGAGATTGTGAATGCTTTGTGTTTCCATGTTAACTTTTTGCTATATTGTCTAAGTATTCTGCAGTAAGCACTGCTATATTTAAAAGTAACGAAAACACTAACACGTGTCAGATATTTAACCACATACAGTAATTAACAGCAGAGACCATATCTCCTGGGTTCTGCCCCTTTCAGCATAACAACATCCACAAAATTTCCTCTTCCTATTTGCTTATTTTCTGTTTTTAATCTGATACTGTCAAAGTTAAAGGCCAAGAACTAGATACATGATTTATAGTATTTGTAAACATAATGAATCCACTGGAAATAATTAAAATATAGACTGTACTTCCTTACCTTTGTAAATGAAATGGCCAGTCATCTGTAGTTGGTTGTGCTGAGTGTCCTATTCATTGTTGAGACTGTTTTCCTTCCCAGGTTTCTGTTAAAATAGAGACCACTGGTCATTATTTATTCACACCTCTCTTTCATATCTCAGAAAGGATGAGGTGGCTACAGGGATATATATATATATATACACATACACTGCAGTCAGCTAAGGGGCCTCAGATGGTAAAGAAGCTGCCTGCAATGCGGGAGACCTGGGTTCGAACCCTGGGTTGGTAAGATCCCCGGAGAAGTGAATGGCTACCCGCTCCAATATTCTTGCCTAGAGAATTCCATAGACAGAAGAGCCTGGCAGGCTACATGGGGTCCCAAAGAGTCGGACACGACTGAGCAACTTTCATTCACTCACTCAAAATTAAAACAAAGGAAGCAATGTGTGTATAAATAAAGGGAAGATAAAGGTGAGGAACAAGATGGTGCCAGCATTATAGGCTGTACAAAAAATGTGCACTATGTAATCCTGTAGAGTCATTGATACCCTGGTCAGTCTCCCGTTGATTCTGAGACTCCTAGTGGTCATAGCAGAGGAAGACATAATCAGTTACATAAATGCCCAATTCTTATAAGATAAAAACAAGTCAGTTGCTCAAATCACTGGGGATTGAGGCTGGAGTGAATATTTCTCCTGTGGGGCTTCATAAAAGAGACCCCATATGATGTGTGGATAATTTTTCACTATTATCCCTGTGATAAATCATATGATTTTCATGAGGGTTGTTTCAATAACAGAACTTCAAAGGAGAGTTCAACAAACCTTTTCTCTTGTT